TTGCTTGTCCTCAAGCAAAGACATGAAATTACAGAGAAGTCAGACTCTTGATATAACAGTATGCAACCTGACATGTTACAATTACTCCACTCTTGCTCAATTACAACTTCAAGCCTAGTATATTGACACATCAAAACCAGCTAAGCATTCTGTAATAATCACTCTACTTTGCTTAATAACAGCGTCAAGTCAAGTATATATGCAGGGGGAAAATCATTTTTATGATTACCAAATCAATTACCAACTCTTAAAACAATTGCAGCCTACCTTCCATCAACAATGTAGTGGAGTAAATCAAGATCCTTAGGACTTGAATCAAGGATAAAACATGGCCAAGGTAAAGTGAGGTTTTAGAGAACATTTTGAAATGTGGTAAGAATGATTAAGATTAGCAGAGAAAAATATACAAAACCACAACCGCCATATAAGAACTCATATCACAGGCCCTTCAAACTTCATGATTTTTTTTTTTTTTTTTTTTTTTGTGTGTGTGTGTTTGACGACTCTTAATGTCAAGTACCTGTCAAGTAACCCATGTAGCGAGCTTTCAACCAGTGACTCCCGTTCCAGTTGGACCAAGGCACTAGGTTTTAAGATACCCCTACGGATTTACTAACTCGAGTTACTCAATCACGATACATAAACATCATACGTACTTATATGTTTTTTTTTCGTTTTTTTTTTTTAACGAACCCATACATTTTGGTACGTAGAGCCTTTAACATGAAACTATTAGAAAATATAAACTTCACCACCAATTTACATCATTACCACAATGATAATCCAATTCACCCTTCCATATGCTCTACAAATCTTATAGGTAAGTATTTCATGTTTCAGACATTTCGCAAGAAAAGTAGGTCTATAAAGCTCAAATTGGGTTTAACAATGAATTATCTCATGGGTAAGCTTTTTGGCTTATGTGGTGTAAAACTTTGATGCCTAACTCATTCTTTCTTTTTACTCCACCACAAGCTAACTTCCACCAGGCTAGCTATTGTTTACAGAATCAATTTTTTTTTTTTTTTTTTTTTTTTTTTTGCATACATACAAGTCTATCAGCCAAAGTTAAGCATTGTAGAGTGAATGTACTGTTCATATGCAAAGCACTGTCCAAATTTCATTGTCAGACTCAATACCATACCATACCCAGAGACATACCAAGAGATCGCAAGAGATCGAATATAATGCATTCCCCCCCAAGCTTAATTCACACATTGCCCTCAATGTGTGACTGTAAAAAAAATAAGGGGATAAAAATAGAAAAAGACAAGGAAACGAGCTCACCGGATGAGTTGAATATTGTAGGGTATTGACTGTGTAGCCAGCCTGATGGCATCCCCCCAAGCTTGGACTTGCTCACGAAATCTAGCTGTAAACACATTGGAGATGCTCAACTGCCCATTCAATCTTACGATGTCAGATAATCTGGCAGCAAATGTATGTGCTCCCTTATATGTGTCCGGGTGAAGTTGTTGGATGACTGACTGTATAAGCAGGTGTTCTTTCAGCTCAGCTTTAACTCCACCATTGTGTCCAGTCAATCCCACTGTCCTGCAACAACTAATACCAAATAAAAACAGAATTAGTAAAAAAAAAATTCCGAGAAAACAAAGTAAGAAAAAAAATAAAAATAAAAATTTCAGAAAAAAATTCCTAAATTTGGGTTGCCTCCCAAGAGCGCTTCATTTATCGTTGTTAGCTCGACGCCTTTCCAGCATACTAGTCTCCATAATTTGGAGCTTCTAGCTCCATCACTTCAATGTTCTGGACCTGATAACCCTCATAGTACGACTTGAGTCGATGACCGTTCACCTTGAATTCCTTCCCTGTGCCCTCACTACGAATCTCCACCGCACCATGGTCATATACCTTGGTAACAACAAACGGTCCTACCCATGGAGAATGGAGTTTGCCAGGAAAGAGTTTAAGTTGAGAATGATACAGGAGAACTTTCTGCCCAACTGTAAATGTCTTTCGTGTGATACGCTGATCATGGAATGCCTTAGTCTTCTTCTTGTACATTCTCACATTCTCGAAAGCATCATTCCGAATTTCCTCTAGTTCTTGCAATTGAAGTTTCCTGTGCTCACCCGCTGCATCCATTTCCATATTACATTGTTTCACGGCCTAAAAGGCTTTGTGTTCCAATTCTACCGGCAGGTGGCAAGGTTTACCAAACACGAGCCTGTAAGGAGACATCCCAATTGGAGTTTTATATGCCGTTTTGTACGCCCATAGAGCATCATTCAGGCGAAGGCTCCAATCTGTCCTGTTTGGATTCACCGTTTTTTCCAAAATGGATTTAATTTCCCGGTTGGAAAATTCAGCTTGTCCATTTGTTTGCGGATGGTATGCTGTGGAGACTCTATGGAACACATTGTACTTCTTTAAAAGAGCTCCTATTGTCTTATTGCAAAAGTGTGTCTCCTTGTCATTGATGATGGCTCTTGGGAATCCGTATCTAGCATAAATATTTGATTTCAAAAACTCTGCAACAACTTTAGAATCATCAGTACGGGTGGCTATAGCTTCCACCCAATTCGAGACATAATCGACGACAAGCAAAATATATTGAAAACTGAAAGAAGAGGGGAAGGGACCCGTAAAATCCATACCCCAAACGTCGAAGTTTTCACATATTAAGATAGGAGTTTGGGGCATTTCATTCCTAGGACCTAGTGTACCTGTTCTTTAACAACTATCACATGCCTTACAGATTTTGTATGCGTCTTTAAAAATGGATGGCCAGTAGAATCCACTCTCTAAAACCTTGCGTGCAGTTCTCTTTGGTCCAAAATGTCCCCCACATGCATAAGAATGGCAGAAAGTTAGTATAAAAAGAATTTCAGAATCAGCTATGCACCTTCTGATTAGTTGATCAGCACAGTATTTCCAGAGGTATGGGTCATCCCATATGTAGTATTTTGCTATACTTCGCATCCAGTCCTTTTGTGCTTTGGTGTAGCTTGCTGGGAACTTCCCAAATACTAGAAAATTTACCAAATTAGCATACCACGGAGTTCTCGAGTTCAAGGAATGAAGTTGTTCATCGGGGAACTCTTCATTGATTGGGGCTTTACCTTCATCAGCTTCAATAACTAACCTGCTCAAATGATCAGCAACACTATTGTTAGAACCTTTTTTATCTTTTATTTCGACATTAAATTGTTGAAGCAATAATATCCAACGTATTAGCCTAGGTTTGGATACATCTTTTGACCATAAATATTTCAGCGCTACATGATCAGTAAACACAATAATTTTAGTACCCAATAAATAAGACCTGAATTTATCTAAAGCAAAAACTACAGCTAAAAGTTCTTTCTCAGTTGTAGTATAATTAGCTTAAGCCGCATCCAAAGTCCTCGAGGCATAGTAGATGGCATGGGGAACTTTTCCAACTCGCTGGCCTAGCACTGCCTATACAGCATAATTAGAAGCGTTGCACATTAGCTTGAATGGGAGCTCCCAGTTAGGAGGTTGTAGAACAGGGGCAGTGACCAACTTGTCTTTTAGCTTGTCAAATGCCTGCTTACAGGCCTCATCAAAGTGGAACTCCACATCCTTTTGGAGTAGTCTGCATAGTGGTTGCGCAATCTTTGAGAATCCTTCAGTAAACCCGCGATAGAACCCTGCATGGCCAAGAAAAGATCGAACTTCCTGCACAGAGGCGGGGTAAGGCAGAGGAGAAATAAGATCTATTTTAGCTTTATCGACTTTTATTCCTTAAGAAGACACAATATGGCCTAAAACTATACCTTGTTGAACCATGAAATGACATTTTTCAAAATTAAGCACAAGGTTAGTTTCAAGACAACGTTTAAGAACCAAAGTGAGGTGTTCTAAACAACTATAAAAGAATCTCCATGTACAGTGAAATCATCCATGAAAACTTCTATGAAATCTTCAAGGTAATCAGAAAAGATGCTTACCATACATTTCTAAAAAGTCGCTGGAGCATTGCACAGTCCAAATGGCATACGACGATACGCAAATGTGCCGTACGAGCATGTGAACATCGTTTTTTCTTGATCCTCTGGAGTTATAGGGACCTGCACATAACCTGAATATCCGTCAAGAAAACTGTAATAAGCATGACCAGTAAGACGCTCTACCATTTGATCAATAAAGGGTAGGGGAAAATGATCTTTTCAAGTCATAGAATTAAGTTTTCTGTAGTCTACACAAACTCTCCACCCATTTTGAACTCGGGTGGGAACCATTTCTCCCTTATCGTTTTTTACCACTGTGACTCCTGACTTTTTTGGGACCACTTGCAAGGGGCTGACCCAAGGGCTATATGATATAGGGTATATCTCCCCTACTTCAAGAAGCTTCATTACTTCTTTCTTCACCACTTCCATCATAGGTGGATTAAGTCGCCTTTGCACTTGTCTCACAGGTTTAGCTCCCTCTTCTAATAAGATTCTATGCTGACACATAGAGGGGCTAATTCCTTTTATATCAGCTACTGTCCACCCTAGAGCTGTTTTATGCTCCTTCAGAACTTGCACCAGCTTTTGCTCTTGAGTCGGAGATAGATAACTCACGATTATGACTGGTAAAGTGTCATTTTCTCCCACAAATGCATACTTGAGATGGTTTGGCAATGGCTTTAGTTCCACTTCAGGGGCCTGTACAATAGAAGGTAGAAGTCTGTTAGATGTGACAGGTAACTGCATAAACCGTTTGTCATACCTTAATTGCTTATCGGGAAGTATTTCCAAAGAGGAAAAGCTTCCTTAACTTCCCCCTTAAGCTCAAAATGTTCCTGCAAGTCAACATACTTTTCTTTTTCCATAGGAGCAGTTAAAACAACATCTAACCCGTCATGACCAGAGAGAAAAGATACTTTCTCAGTTAGTGCATCAATGACATCTATACTAGAAACAGATTCACAATCAGAGGGATATCTCATGGCATTAAATAAATTAAACCGGATAACCTCCCCATCGAATTCCATGGTCAACATCCCACTGTGAACATCAATTTTAGTTCTAGATGTTTTCAGAAAAAGGTCTTCCTAATAAGATAGGTGCTGCACTAGGGGATTCATCATTTGGCATATCTAAAACATAAAAGTCAGCAGGAAATACCAGTTCATTCACTTGCACTAAAACATCCTCTACTCCTATAGGGTATGTATTAGAACGGTCAGCAAGCTGAATAATCACTTGAGTGTCTTTCAAAGGTCCTAAGTTCAGAGCTTTATAAATATATAAAGGCATAAATAGAAGCTCCTAAATCTAGCATGCATTTATCGTATCTCGTGTTACCTATTTTACAGGGTATAGTAAAAAATACCTAGATCCTTGCACTTTGGAGGAACTTTCCTCTGTAAAACAACAGACACATTCTCACTTACACTGACCTTTTCATCTCCACTCAATCTCCTCTTGTTAGTGCACAACTCCTTCAAGAACTTTGCATACCGCGGTACTTGTCTTATAGCTTCCACTAAAGGTATGTTTACCTCAACCTTACGAAAAATGTCCAGGGTCTCTTTCTCCATTTCATGCTCTTTCTTCTTATTCTTAGATGATAACCTGCTAGGAAATGGAACAGAAGAAGAAAAACTGATTAGTATTAGGAGAACAACATCACTTACCTTAGTGGGTTGCTTATCTTGCTCTGGAACAATAGTCTCCTGTGCCTCTTGGTGTTCTGCCAGCCCTTTAGTCTTTTTCGCTGGAACCTCTAATTGCTTGCCACTCCTAAGGGAGATTGCACTCGCGTTCTCCTTTGGATTTTTCTCTGGTTGACTCGGAAGCTTGTTAGAATTCTGAGCTTGGAGCTTTCCCACTGTGTTAGCTAACTGAGAAACTTGGTTCTCCAAGTTCTTTAGACCACTTCTTGTCTCTTGCTGAAAATGCAAAGCCTTGTTAGCCATTGCCTTCACAATATCTTCCAGAGACATGCTACCAGATTGTGGCTCGGAAACTTGCTGATTTTGAGGTCGCGGCTGATATTGTGGTTGCTGATGAAAACCACGTGGAGGATTAGAAGCTTGTTGTTGCTGAAAAGCTAGTGATCTGAGGTTAGAGTTGCCTGCCTACTGCTGAGCTTTCCCATATCTCAAGTTTGGATGATCTCTCCACCCCGGATTAAAAGTCTGAGAGAATGGATCATAATGTCTTTGCTGCCCCTGACCACCACCAATAGAATTCACTTGTTCTTCTTGCATAGTAGGACACATATTAGTTAGGTGTCCCACCATTGAACAGAGGCCACATGCTTTTTCTTGCCCTTTTTAGATCATTACTCGCTCCACTAAGGAAGTGAGTTTAGCTACTTGTTGCTCGAGGTTAGAACTCATTACTTCATTAACCTGACGTACAGAAGTGGATTTGATATTTCGACCTCCTTGATACTGAGAGTTTGCAGCCATGTTTGCAATCAGTTTCTTTGCCTCTGCGGGTGTTTTGTCAACCAGTTCTCCACCACTTGCTGCATCAACTAAATTCTTGTCTGTCTCCCTGAGTCCTTCGTAAAAGTACTGTACTAATAATTGCTCACTGATCTGATGGTTTGGACAACTATCACATAATTTCTTGAAACGCTCCCAGTACTCATGAAGTGTCTCTGCATCATCCTGTCGAATTCCACATATTTCTTTCCTGATATTGGCTATCAAAGATGCTGGAAAATGTCTTTCTGCGAATACTTTTAGCATTTGATCCCATGTTGTGATGGTTCCAGCAGGTACTTCAAATAACCACTCCTTAGCAGCACTAGACAAGGCAAAAGGAAATGCCTTTAACTTGAGTTGGTCGAGGGTGACACTAGCCGGTTTCATCCCGGCACATGCTATGTGAAATTCCTTCAAAAATCTGCTAGCCTCATTCATGTGAACTGAGCCCAAGGAGTTAGTATTACGGAAACCTGAAATGTGGGAAGAGCTCTAATTAAACCCGGCTTGATCTCAATTTGTGCCTCATCGTCTACTATGCACAATAAATTTGGATCAAACGTTGGAGCTGCAAGCTGCTTTAGTGTTTGATCACCCATCTCAAAAATATATTCACCCTCCTCGTCCGAAGATGAACTTTCATTGTGAGGTAATGGAATATGACGAGCTTGCTCCAGTATATGAGCACGAGTCCTTTTTGCTACAGGAAGAGTAGAAAAAGGATGAATTATAAGTCCCTGGTTCCTTGCTGCAAATTCCCTTAATCTTTGATTATTCAAGCTTCTGTCACACATACACAAACTAGGAACTAGATGACAAGTTAGTAGGAAAAGTTAGTAAAAACACAGGTAATAATGTAATAAAAGGCCAATTCCCCGGCAACAGCGCCAAAATTTGGTACGACTGTCGCATGTCTACCAAAAATAAACCTAACTCTGACCTCATAAAAATGTAGTAGGGTAAGCTAGGATCGATCCCATAGAGAATTAGATTATCAAATTATTACTTGTGTGTGTTAGAAACCCCTGATTTGAAGAATGACTATTACGAGCTTATATATAAAACTACAGATGTTTCGGGGTTTTCTAAGGTGTCCTGCGGGAGAGTTATAGCACCGGGAATGCACGCCTGACTTCTGTACCTGCAAAACCACGAAACTCCGATTGGGTGGAGTATCGCCTCCGAAGATCAAGTTAGTATGATTCCGGATGAGTTTACGTGCGGAAAGTAAACGGGTATTTCTCTCGAATTTCGGGAGATTCCGCAATTAATATTGCTCGGGTTAGGTGTCCGTATTTATGAATCCCAATAAATGAGGATAATTCCTCTTTTTATAGCGGATGAGAATCTGCTTCCCATTGGGGGTACAATGCCACGTGGCATCCATTGGTTGGATGCCCCTGGTGTAATAAGGGGTGACACGTGTCAGGCCCTCATTGGGCCACGTGTCTAGGGTAATTTTTACCCTAAACATTTGCCCCTCACAGGTGCTGACGTGGCTGTGCCACGTGGCGCCTGTGACGGTTACATCATCATCAATATATTATTTATTTAATTATTATTATTATATTTTTTTTTTAATTCAATTTGAATTCTCATTTGGAGGGAAAAAGAAGTAGAAGTCAAAGAGGCACAACGGTTCGCCTTCTGAGGGTTGCCCATAAATAGACAAACCCCTCCCCCATGCTCACATTTACAGACTTGATCTTTTCCAAAGAATTTGAGAGCAGTCGGTGTTGAGAGCAAGATTCTTCAAAGATTTCCGAGTGCACATCCGTCTGTGGGGTTTGCAACTGGTTTCAGGATTTGCAGCTGCTTATTCAGATAACACAGCCGGGTTTTAGTACGCTTGTGTCTTCGCAAGTAATCTTGAGGAAATCCCTTGTGATCAAGCAGTTCTTTTCTCTTTACTTAAGTACCGCCTCTATACTCTTCTAGTTTTTTCCATGTATATAGCTTGTGCCCTTTTCTTGCCTTTTTGTTTATTAGTTCCATAAGTAGATGGACCCTTTATACCCATACTCGGAACATAGTTTTGAGACCAGCCGGTCTATTAGTACGGCTGAGTCTAGGACTGGGGTTGTCGCCTCTGGCACTGGGAGTTACTATGTGAATCTCCTAATCCGACCGTCTCCGTGTCTGTGTAGGACACAATGGCTAGGAGAAAACACACAGCGGTTGACCCCAACTATAGAGACGGGGGATCAGATGAGCAGCTGCCTGAAGAGGGGGCTCCGGTTGATGAGACGAGGAACTCTCCAGGCGGCGCTCCTAGCACCCCTAGCGATAGCATCCTAGGTTCTTTCGATAGAGACGGGGGTGAGTCCGCCTCTGTCTCTGGGGCTGAGAGTAGGGAGAACTCAGCAAGGCAACAGGTCTCCACCTTTGCCTCCGGCTCTAGGACCGGCTTTGTAGAGAGCAGCAGCAGCAGCTATCTCACACCGTCTGTGGATAGCGAGGCCTAAGAGAGGCCTAACTGGAACAATAAAAGTGATCCCCTTATGATCACCCTGTCGGCCAAGGATAGGGCCAGCTGCAAAGCGGTCTGGCTGAATTCACCCTCAAACGACCCTTTAGGGGAGGGTACAAATTGTCCATCCCGTCTAAGATGGGAATGATTGCATGGGAAGACGACCAGCGCAATGCAGAAAACTACTTTGGCTGTTACGAGGTGGCATTCTTGGCGGGGGTTTGCTTCCCCCTTCACAACACAATAAAGGCCATACTAAGGGGTTATGGCCTAGGCATCTAGCAACTCACCCCCAACTCATGGGTAAATATTATGGGGTATATCTCCGCCTGTGAGATGCAAGATTTAAACCCCGGCTGGGAGGCTTTTGCACACATGCACCACTTAAGCAGAAGCTCAGGCGGTTGGAGAGCTTGACAAGCCGTCAAATTGGTCGGATTGGAAAAATCGGTTCTACTTTGTCAAGGCTCCAACCAACGAAGAGAATAGGGAGCACCGGACGTACAATCGGAAGCCCGGCCTTCTTGGGCAGAAGTGTCGGATGCCCCCCGTACCGGATGGGGACTACGAAGTAATAATTGAGTCCGTTTTTTCGAACTCGTCCCTTCCACCCTCTCAACCGGCGAGGTCATAAGCGTACCCAAAAATTGGGTACCGAAACACGAGTTTCTAAGGGATGAGGCCTTTTTGTCTGCATGCGGTCTGAGCACCATGTTTGAAAGACGTAGGTGAACCTCAACCGGGAAACACATCCCGGTTGTATATTATGCATGTTCATTTTCCATTCTTGCCCCTTTTTATACTGATACATCTGTTTATGCTTTGCAGAAGAAGCCAAAGGCATGCTGCCCTCATACAAGACGCTTTCCAAGAAGGCTTCAGATATTCAAAACGAGAATCTAGAGAAGAAGGCTGCTCAGGCGGCTAAAAAGGTAAGGCCGTCTGACTGATTGTTGATTCTTCTTTGAGCTATTGACTTATCTACCGTCTAACCTTCTGTTGTCTTGTTTCAAGATAGGGGCAAGATTCCCCGCTCTCTCTAAAAGCAGATCCGGCAAAGGCCGGCAGAAGAAGAACCTGCGCCTAAGGCGCAAAAAACCACTCATGCCGACCGGCTGACTATCGGTGGCAAGTCAATAAAGAGCACCCCAATGGGGTTTGACTTATCAGGTTGCAAAGCTAATGCCGCCGCGACCTTTAAGGAGGTCACTCCCTCGAAGACCCCAGGCGGGTCTTCTGCTGATGGGGGCCGACGAAGTATCCAAACACAACAAGGTACGGCTGACTCTTTCAACCTCGCGTTACTTGGCCTGCCCATGCGGGTTAAGTCTTATTCGCAAGTCCAGCCGGAGGATTCGTCGTCCAGCCGGCAATCTATTGGTGGGGCGTATGCCACTTTCTCACCATCTGTTTCTGGTGCAGATAACTCTTCACGCTGGCCGGACGTGACTTAGTACGCCCGGGCCATGCTGAAAGCCGTCTCTAGGGAAGAAAAGGAGGCGATCTCTGGGATCAACGCCTTTAACGCTTACCGTGTGATGGTCAGCCTGGCTGAGGTAATCTTGAATACTTTTTTAATAACTTTTCACATGCATACGGTGTTACTTATATCCGGCTGTGTTTTTGCAGTCACTGCTGCGCGTGGAGGGGCTGAAGAAAGCCTATGCGCGCAAACAGGAGGAGGTAAGAAGAGCCAAACGGGACGCCTCAAACGCCCGTGATGTAGCTCAGTATTCAATGATTTTGCATGACTTAGAAACTAAATCTATAATCATGAAACAGGCGGACCAGATCAAGACCCTCAAAAAGGCCCTTGATGAGTCCAAGGTCAAACTAGACATCCTCCAGGCGGCGCTAAATAATGCTGAGAAGGAGCTGAAGGATCATGAAGAGCCTTTCAAAAGCCTGGAGAAGGCGGAGAAGAACAACGACGTTCTGCAACAGGATGTTGACCGCCTGAAGAAGGATGCTGCCGCTTCAATGAAAAATTTCGAGGCAACCCTTCAGGCGGAACAGAGCCGGCTCATTGAGGAGAATGAGCAAGATTGCGAGAACCGCATGAAGATGGCGTTCTCCCTGATTCATCCGGATGCCAGCTATGGCACCTAGGAGCTCACCTATAAGTACGCAGATCTGACCATTCTGGCTCAGGAGGAGGGTCAGCCGGGGCCGGAGCCCTATAGCGAGTGGGTGCAGAAAGAGCTGGAGAGGATGCAGGCCGACGCAGCCGAGGAGGAGGAGACCGAGGAGAATGTTGGGGTTGCTGACTCGGCCGTCGCTGTCGTTCAAGAGCAGCCAGCACAGACTTAGGTTCCTCCTTCTCAGACTCCGGAGGACCGTGTCACGGTTCAGATTGAATATCAATTACCTCCGGGCCTGCGAGCCTTGCATTATTTTGTAATTACTCCGGATGGGGATCTGGCCATCAATATTTTGATTTTAATTTTTGAATATTAATGCAATATATTTTGCCAACTGTATCGGCTTTGCCTTGATGTGATTCTTGTGTTTTCCTCGAATTTATATTGATTTACTTCATTTACAAAAATTACAAGTCCTTAGAAGTAGTACTTTATCAAGTTATCTACATTCCAGGTTCTGGGTAGCTTTCTACCGTCTGGGGTGTCCAGGTGGTAGGTGCCGCCTCTGACTTCGTCAAAAATCCGGTAGGGGCCTTCCCAATTGGGGGTTAGCTTTCCCTGCTTATTTGCCCTACCGGTTGCCCAACTTTGAGGGGCCGCTTGTGTACTCTCTTGTTGTAAGCCCTCGTCATCCTCAAACGGTATATCTCATGACGCAAGGCGGCGTTGCCCCTGCGTTCTGGGAGTGAATCCAATGCTAGGCGCATGGCCTCCCAGTTAGCCTCTTCATTTTAGAGCATGACTCGGAGTGTTGGCTCATAAAGTTCAATTGGCAAGACAGCTTTAGTGCCGTATGTCATGAGAAACGGGGTTTTACCGGTTGCCCC